AAAGCCGACACGTGCGGTCCGCACAGACGCATAACTTCTCCAGCGGCAATGCACAAGGAAAGCATCTCGAATCAATAAAGGAGCTGCTACGGTGTGAAAGACGAAAAAAAAAAAAGACTCGGAGGAACGCGAGGGCGAAGTGCAAAGCTGTACAAATAGGGCAGGTGCGCGTGCCGGGGAGGGAGCGCTGAGGTGTTCTGGTAAAAGGGTAGGTTTGAAGAAAAAAAAAAGAGGGAAGCAATGCCAGAAAAGTTGCAGTGTAAGTTTGGCAGCTGGTGGTCGCTGTGAAGGCGTGTAAATATTTTAGTATCACCCGAAAAGTTAAAGCATCAAAAAATTTCGGGGGGCCCCCTCAAACCCCCCCCTCTAGTTACGGGCCTGAATGTCAATATCGAGCGTGACAGGAAGAAGTTACGAGAAATCAAACGCGTGGAAAGAGGGGTAATTCATGGCGCTAATCCGGCATAAGCTCACAAGATCAGAAGTTCGAAACCACACAGGGCCGTTATTTTTTTTTAATGAGGAAATTAGATTTTCGGACATATAGAAGGAAAAGAAGAGGTGGGCAATGGCGTAGTGGTTAAAGCATTCGCCTCGCATGCAAAAGGTCCATGGTTCGAATCCCGGTGCTGTGCAGTCCCCAACCGGATTAAAAAAAAATGTGCGTGGTGATGGAACTGCATTAAGAGGCCCGGGTGCAGCCTCACCACAACCACCGCCGGTAACGCACTCCCTCACCAGAGAAAGATTGGCCACCCTGGTGCTGTATCTGGCCACTACCTCCCACATCAATTAACTCACGGCCCTCAGTCCCCAGCAGCTGCAAAGCAACTGACCACGGTGGCGGTCAGATCTGCAACGCAGCAGAGGGTGCTAAGAATCTCTGGACCAGGATACGCCGCCATTAGAACCTGAGCTTGGCAACGTTTAACGCTAGAACCTTACCTAATTGATTGATTGATTTGTGGGGTTTAACGTCCCAAAACCGCCATTTGATTATGAGAGACGCCGTAGTGGAGGGCTCCGGAAATTTTGACCACCTGGGGTTCTTTAACGTGCACCCAAATCTGAGTACACGGGCCTACAACATTTCCGCCTCCATCGGAAATGCAGCCGCCGCAGCCGGGAATCGAACCCGCGACCTGCGGGTCAGCAGCCGAGTACCTTAGCCACTAGACCACCGCGGCGGGGCAGAACCTTACCTAGGGAGGCAAGTTTAGCAGTACTATTCGAGGAGCTAGAGGGTGTTAAATGGGATAAATAGGGCTCAGTGAGGTTAGGAGGACAGATGGGGCCTATACTGTGCTACCGAATGGGCACGTCTTTTGCTATTGGGGTTCGGCTGACAAAGAGAATTGGGAGTGGGGTTCCTAATTCACAGAAACATAGCTGGCAACATAGAGGACTACTATAGTATTAATGAAAGGGCGGTAGGTATTGTAATTAAACTCAATAAGAGATACAAGATGAAGGGGGTACAGGCTTACGTGCCTACATCCAGCTATGATGACGCTTCAGTTGAAAGCTTCTATGAAGACGTAGAATTGGCAATGAGTAAGGTAAAAACACAGTATACTATACTGATGGGAGACTTTGATGCAAAGGTAGGAAAGAAGCAGGCTGGAGACCAGGCAGTAGGAGAGTATGGCATCGGTACTAGAAATGCCAGAGGAGCTACTAGTGGAATTCGCAGAATGCAATAATTTACGGATTTTGAATACCTTCTACCGAAACGAGGAAGCCGTAAGTGGACATGGAGGAGCCCTAATGGCGAAAATAAGAACGAAATAGACTTTATATTGAGTGCACACCCAGGCATCGTGCAGGATGTGGAAGTGCTTGGCAAGGAACGATGCAGTAACCATGGAATGGTACGGTCTCGAATTCGCCTAGACTTGAAGAAGGAACGACAGAAACTGATACGCAAAAAGCCAATTAATGAGCTAGGACTGAGAGGGAAAGTACAGGAATTCAGAGTCTCGCTTCAGAATAGGTACTCTGCTCTTATTTAGAAAACCAACCTTAGCGTAGATATACTGAATGATAATCTAACGAGTATGAATGGTAATCTAACGAGTAGATAATCTAACAAGATAATCTAATGACCTTAATGCTATAAGAACTAGCAGTAACCCAGATGACACCCCACTAGTAATAATAGAAGTCATAAAAGCCTTGGAGAGCATGAAAAGAGACAATGCTTCTGGTGAGGATCAGGTAACATCACATCTGCTGAAAGATGGAGGACAGATTGTGTTAGAAAAACTAGCCACCCTGTTTAGGAGGTGTTTCCTGACTGGAAGAGTAACAGGATCTTGGAAGAATGCTAAAATAATCTTAATACATAAGAAAGATGACAAGGACTTGAAGAATTAGAGGCCGATCAGCTTGCTCCCTGTAGTATACAAGCTACTTACAAATGTAATTTCTAACCAAGTAAAGAAAGCATTAGAATTCAATCAACCAAAGGAACAAGCAGGATTTCGAACAGGCTACTCAACAATAGACCACATTCGTACTATCAATCAGGTAATAGAGAAATGCTCAGAGTATAACCAACCACTATACATAGCCTTCATAGATTATGAGAAGGCGTTTGAATCAGTAGAAATATTAGCAGAAATGCAGACACTGCTGAATCAGGGCATCGATGAAGGATATAAACATCCTGAAAGAAATCTACAGGGAATCAATCGCTACCATAGTGCTTCATAAGAAAGCAACAGAATACCAATCGAGCAGGGTGTAAGGCAGGGGGACACGATCTCCCCAATGCTATTTACCGCGTGCTTACAGGAGGTTTTCAGAAGCCTAGAATGGGAACAGTTAGGGAACAGTTAGTTAATGAAGAGTACCTTAGTAACTGCGCTTGGCCGATGACATTGCATTGCTGAGTAACTCAGGGGACGAATTGCAACTCATGATTACGGAGTTAGACAAGGAGAGCCGAAAGGTGGGTCTTAAAATTAATCTGCAGAAAACGGAAGTAATGTATAACAGCCTCGAAAGAGAGCAGCGCTTCGAGATACGCAATAGTCCACTTCAAGATGTAAAAGACTATGCCTACATAGGAAAGGTAATAACAGCGGAGCTGAACCACGAGATTGAAGTAACTAAAAAAATAAGAATGGGTGAAGCACACTTGGCAAGCACTCTCAAATTATGACAGGTAGATTGCCACTATCCCTCAAGAGGAAAGTATGTAACAGCTGTATCTTGCTGGTACTTAGCTACGGAGCAGAAACCTGGAGACTTACAAAGAGGGTTCAACTTAAATTGAAGACTACGCAGCGATCAATGGAAAAAAAATGGTACGTGTAACCTTAAAAGACAAGAATAGAGTAGAGTAGAATACGGAACAAACAGGGGTCAAGGATATCATAGTTGAAATCAAAAAAGAAATGGGCATGGGGCGGACACGTAGCACGTAGGCAGTATAATCGGTGGTGATTAAGGGTAACTGAGTGAATTTCCATAGAAGGCAAACGAACGAAGGGGAGACAAAAAGTAAGGTGGGCTGATGGAATGAAAAGTTTGCTTGTATAATATGGCAATGGAAAGCACAAGACCACGGGTTGATTGGGGATCATAGGAGAGGCCTTTGACCTGCAGTGGGCGAAGTCACGCAGATGATGATGAGACCAAGAAGAATGACATCTGCTCATGCCTTGTTTTAATTTAAAAAAATTGTGCAGGTTAATTGAACCATGACAAGTATGATCATTTTTTACACATGTGATACAGTACACTATTTCAATTCAATTAGAAATTATTGGACCTAATTATTATTATTCTAAAATGTACTATTTGCACAGACCTAGAGCACATGTACTACACTACTTTAGATTGGATAAACTTTTATTGGGTCCTCCAAAATGCATTGATTGATTTGATTGATATGTAGGGTTTATGAGAGACGCCGTAGTGGAGGGCTCCGGATATTTCAACCACCTGGGGTTCTTTAATGTGCACCCAAATCCGAGTACACAAGCCTACAACATTTCCACCTTCACCGGAAATGCAGCCACCGCAGCCGGGATTCGATACCGCGACCTGTGGGTGAGCAGCCGAGCTTAGCCACTAGACAAATGCGGCGGGGCTCCTCTGAAACACAGATCACTGTGTCGCGGGTCACTGCCATGAAGGGACTGAGATGCCGACCTCCTCAGCCACCTCGCGGGCTTGGTGGACAGCCCAGGGCGGATCTGCCAAGGACGAGCTGCAGATTGCCGCGTCCCATCTGGCAGAGGTGATGTCCCATAAATGACTCTCCTATAATTTCGACGTTTCACAAAATATCGTTTACACCCTCTTGCTGTTCTTGGTGATTTTCAATGCGAGGGCACTACCTCGGTTGTTCTATGAACCCGTAAATTACAATCAAACCTCGATATAATGAACCTGAATATAACAATATCGGGTATAACGAAGTAAATGAAAAATAGTCTTGCAATATATACAGTGTTAGGAATAAACCTATATAATGGTTTTTCGGATAAACGAACTTATTTTCATTTAAGATGCAGCTTTGTTATAATGAGGTTAGAGTACTTTAGTACTGTGCACATGGCTGCACAAAACCAAACAGTCCGAAACCAAACATGTGAAAATTGAACTTTGGCAGATTGAATAGATGATTGACTAGATGGCACCAATGCCCCTGACACCGTGACAGCGAGAGCAAGTGATTTCAGCAAGGCAACGTTCCAGTTAATAAAATAAAGGCCGAAGTTATACACCCCCCCCCCCCCCCATCCACAACAACAGAATGTTCAAGACACAAAGAACTGAAGAATCAATGCAATATGGTACATGGGCTCTGCAGAACAGTTTGCAAGCTCAGCAACCTTTCTCTGCAACACTTCACTCAGAAATAAGTAATGATACTGCATCAACTCAAAGAAAGAAAGGCTTGAGCATCCTGAAGTTTTTTCACACTTTAGGTTTACGGTATGTTAGGCATCAACACAACAAATTCCTAAACTTTAAATGATACTCACCTTATCCTCGGCCTGATGTGAGCTGGGTAGGCATAATATCTGTACACAGTTGCGTATCCAGCGAAGGGATAGCACGTGACTCCATCCACAACCTTTTTCTCGTGTCTGTAATATGTTTGCAAACCAGACAAGAAACACTTCCAACAATCAGTTGTTAAAATTACTAGTAGTACGAGACGTAATATTACTACGAACTACCAGTAACTATGAAGGAGAAGAAAAACCAAAGCTGCACACTGCCCACTCACAGGACAAAGTACTCCCATTCGTCGTCCGAGTCGATGTACGAAGCCGCATCGATGAACCACAGGATGAAGCTCTGCATGCGTGCATGATAATCCAGAAAGCCAGGAGTCATCACACTTGCCGAGTACAGCTCGAACGTGCGAGACAGGCCACCTTGTAAGAGAAAACGTGTGCCAGCCAAGTTACTACAGCCCGCCAATGGTACACAGCCTGTTTGTTCACATCTATTGAAATTGTGCACACTTACTCTTGTTCTACGCCAGCTTGTTTATATTAACCATAGCCTAAACTGTCACAGACTGATGCATTAGTGCGATCGCCTGCTTTTAGAACTGTATCGCAATAACAATTTGTACTGATTGCAGTCACATCAGCCCGTCAACATAAGAGTATCGTCTCCCTCAGCAACCCATATTCGTTATTGCAGTAATCTCCCTTATTACACAGACGTTACAGCTGAGAAAAATTTTATGCCAGAAATCATAGGCACCCTAATGATTCATACTTAATGTGACTGTTCCTGTGGATTATGCTTTGGGCACAAGGTATATTCACCAAATTTGTATACTTTTGAGTGACAGCCCTGAAAATGCAATGGTCTTGGTCTGATCACCAAACCAGCATAGATTTTTTGATCAACTAAGCATTACATTATGAGAAACCCGTGTTGCTTTGTGCTACAAATGGTGGCTGCCAATTCTCTTTTATAAAATCTTTTGCCGTATAGCGATTTCCCACAGAACGGATCTGACGTACCCACTTTTGCATAACCGTAGACGACCACTGATGTTCAAATAAAAATTCCGGGTGACAGAACATGAGTAGAAATTGGCAGGATGAGCTCCGACTAACAACTGAATTTATTGAAATACGTCAACCTTCCTTTCTGACAACACACATGCGCACAAGCACTAACGTTAGGATGGCACCACGAGGTCAGGAGTTCGATGAGGGTTCTCACGTTTCGATAAAGGCGAAATGGTAGCGGTTTGTGTACTGTGCGATGTTAGTGCACGTTAAAAAACACCACACGGTCATAATTTCCAGAGTCCTCCACTACAGCGTCCCTCATAATCAAATCGTGGTTTTGGGATGTGAAACTACTAGGCGTGTCCAAATATCAAATTTTGAAGACAAATAGAATATAGAATAATGAAGAGACACGACACGATTTTTTTTACCAGTTATCTGTACTTTACCATATACTATGCTGAAACCAATACGTTTGTTAGCTATTCTAGTCTGTTATTGCACAACATCAATGCCACCATCTGTACTTGCCAGGAAGCATATAAATGTGCTAAATAGTGTGATGTCTTGGGTTCAGTTCACATGTTGAACAAACCTTTCTTTGAGTTCGAGGCCGCTGGTTTGATTCCCTCCATGGCAGCTCCATTCCAAAGAGTAGAGATGTAACCATTAACACCCTGTACTTAAATCTATGCAATCTATGCACCCTAGGTGGTCAAAATTTATCGGTGTTTCCTCCCTTTCAGGTTTGGCACGCACGTACCATTCGGAACTTTACCGTTTTCTTCTTAATTGTTGCCCCTGTTATCCAGCCGGGCCACTAAGGCAAGCAGGAGTAGTTGGTGCATCATTCATCTACACAGCAATACTCGTTATCTGGCAATATTTCGTTCCCTTTCTCTAGAACTACACGCTCACCATTTTTCTTTAAGAGTGCTCTGTCACGCTGACAGTCGCACAATAATGAGCAAGGTGCACTGGGCAGGTAGTGCTAATGCAAGGAAAGCACGCGAGATAGACTGAATATTGTTGTGTGACAAAAAGATGACCCGAATATGCTTTTTTAAATCGAGGCACACTCCCCGCAGCGAGGGCACTATCTTGCCGCACTGGGACTGCCTTCGGTGCACTGGCTGCTGACGTTGACAAAACAGTGAGATAGCAGCAACAGAGTTCCGGAGGAATAACTGCAGGAGACGCTGCTGCGTGAGTATGATGAGCATACAATGAAGTCCAGAAGACGCTGTTGGGAACGTAGAGTAACCACGCAGTAGCTGCCCCAACTTTTCGTCATCTTACATGCGCCGCCAATAGCAACAGAGAAATATATGTGACGACGACATTGTAGCGTTATGGAAAGTGCATGGCTTTTTCTTTGTTTCCCATTGCACAGAAAAACACTTCAGCTCATTCACATGATTGCGTGCTACCATCAAATCATTTCGGAACTATGACAGGAACACTGTCGAAATTGTCGAACACTGTCGATGTCATCTTATGTTGGAAGTTAGCGCCTGTGCCGTGTGTCCTCGTCTTGTGTCCCCGTTTCTTTGCGCTACTTTCTGTCGTCACAATGACATGAAACACATGCCAACGTTGCCGACAGCGGCACAGCTCACAGAAGACTTGTCAAGCTTTCGTCAATGCATACGCATACGTTTTTGTGGCGATCAATGAATGAACAGCGCCGTAGCTACACACAGCACATTAACAGCTGTGTCGTCAAGCTGAGTGTCCTTAGCTAGTTGCATGCAGTATCTTGCCTACTAAGCGTCAGTGCTGCTAGCTGTAACGTGCGCATGCATTTGCCCTTGCGCAGTGACGTTTTTCTTCGTGATCGCTCGGCATTGGGCTGTGCAGAGATACGAGTGTTTGTCGGGACAATGCGGCAGTGGCAAGTTGCTTTCATTTCCAAGAGCAGTACACACTTAATTGAAGTGGTACGGCAAATAAGGGCGCAGCAGCGAACGACGTGCTCGGTATACTGCAGTACGCTTACATGGGCAGTAACAGTGCTAGACTGCTAAAACACACTGCTGAGTGAGGTGTTCACGATTTGATTCTTTAAGATGCTTGTCATTCATATATTGTCGCAATGACGTGCCAGCACGTTCGCCGGCAGCCATTGTCACGCTCCTGTGCATTTCGTGCAGGCATCATAGCACTAATGCCGAAATTGCAGCAATCACTACATGGTCTCACGTTGACGTGTTTATCGTAAAGGCGCGAAATTGGAAGTTTTTTAAAATAACATATACGACCGAATAATTGAAAATTCATCTAGCTAAAAAAATTCAAGCTCTTTTTGTGTAAATAAACAGTGTTCACTCATGCACATATATATATCTTGACCGACCCTCACGCAGACCCTTCCAATATGTGACGTGCTCTTTTTCTTTGGTACAACTCCGTGCTAAACAGTTGTTCCCTCAAAGCGTGCCTCGCAATTAGTAGAGAAACTAAAACGTACTGCCAAGTGTTGTTCGCTCTCTGAAGGTACAGTATAAAATGCTCCAGCAGGCGCTTAAACAAGCATCTTCCTGTTTGGCTCACATATAGCCAGGCGCAGCTCAACGGGACCTCATGAATATCTTCTTATGATGCATGCTACAAACTTTCATTTGCGGGTTTTGTCGCAGCTGCCACTATTCTAACCCTCATAAAGGAGCACACACAAAAAAACATGCATAGTGGAACAAGAAACACTCATGCCAAATTTCTGGCCACTTATTATTGTTACGAGTGACTTATTTATTAATCTATTTAGAACGCACAGATCTCGACGAACAAGATGCCGTCAGTCCAGCATCAAACGAAACTCACTTCGTCCTTCTTTTCATGCAGCCGTGTTTAGCGGGTTATGTATCATAACCCCGGCAGTAGAAGCACCGCCCGGAGCTAAATCTACGCAGATGATGTCGAAGGGGGGTAATATGGCTTTAACCGAGCCGGGTGAACGGTGTCGCTTGGAGCTGACGATGACTTTGTTGGATCGGTTGGAACAATCTCGTACGTGACGTCTGTCACTTGGCGATTGATACGGAATGGTCCAGTGTAGGGCGACAACAGTTTTTCAGACAGTCCACACGCCGAGTAGGTGACCAGAGGAGCACGAGAGAACCCGGGGAAAAGTGCAATTCCTATGGTGAGAATTGTAAAGCTGTTGGTGCGCCTGCGAAGCCTGTAGACGATTACAGGCGACTTGGTGTGTGGTCGGCGCCGGCAATGGCTTCCCCGGCATATTCAGCGGCCGCAGGTAGCAAAGTGTCTAAGGGTAGAGTTGGGTCCCGGCCATATAAGAGATAGAAGGCGAATAGCTGGCACTTTTGTGACGAGATGAATTGGAGGGGAACGTCACATACGGCAAATGAATGTCCCAATCCTGGTGGTCGTGTATTCTTGAAGGCGTAGGGCCCAACGAGTGAGACATCCTGTGGGGTCCTTCAGGGAGGCTAGCCAGCAGAGCGCGTGATGATCTGTGACAACATCCGTTGCGCCCGTACAGGTACGGACGAAACTTGGCGACTGCCCATACAAGGGTGAGGCACTCGCGCTTCGTGATGGAATAGTTGCGCTTGGCTGGAGATAGCAGTCGACTTGCGTAGGCTATAACCGGTCGTGTCCCGTTGTTGCTGCAATAGCACAGCTCCTATGCCGTGTCCACTGGCATCCGTGTGAACCTCGGTTGGGGCTAATGGATCAAAGTGAGCCAGACTGGTGGCGTCGTAAGCAGTGTCGTAAGTTGGGAAAACGGTGACGCTTGATCATAGCCTCGGATAAATGAGGCGTCTTTCTTCAAGAGGTCTGTGAGGGGCGTGCAATCACAAAGTCCTTAACAAAGCGTCTGAAATATGAGCACAACCCCACAAAACTGCGGACATCCTTCGTGGTCCTCAGAACGGGAAAGTTCGTGACTGCGCGAATTTTCTCTGGGTCTGGACGCACGCCTTGGGCATCGACAAGGTGACCGAGCACGAAAATTCACGACGAGCGAAGTGGCACTTGGAGGCGTTAAGCTGAAGTCTGGCTCGACGAAAAACGTCCAAAATAGCTGACAAACGATCGAGATGAGAGTCGAATGTGGGCGAAAAAAACAACAACATCGTCAAGGTAACATAAGCAGGTGGACCATTTCAACCCTTGGAGCAATGAGTCCATCATTCTTTCCAAATTTAATTGCCATAACTGACATTTAATTGCCATAACTGAGACATGGTTAAACGAGACATTACGAATGACGAAGTATTTCCCAGTTCATACGCTAATCCGTAAAGATAGGACAACGAGAGGGGGTGGTGTGGCATTGCTGATTAAAGGTTCCATCAAGTATGAGCAGTTACCCCTTTTAGATGACCACGAAAGTGTTTGGTGCAAGATATTCCTTGACGAAATAGCTGTAATAATTGGCGTTATTTATAGACCCCCGGGAAGCCCGGTCGAATTCATTCAAAAATAGATGA